CAAAAGCCTCGCACCAAACTCGCTACAAGGCACGCGTCGTGAAGTGCAGAGATGCTGCGTCGTTCCGGTGGAGGACTTGGCGATTTGGCGACTTGCTGAGGCGACACAACGGCAGTCGAGACACTTTGCACGGCACCATCGCGTCCATTCCGGGAAACACAGAGCTTTGTAGCAGCCGAAGAAAGAAGAGTTCGCACCAATGGGACACTGGCGGACAGAAACCACTCACCGAACTCGCTACAAGGCACGCATCGTGAAGTCCAAAGAAGCTGCTCTGTTCCGGTGGAAGACTGCGACGGCAGGGTGATTTGGCGACTGCAATAAATCCCGACAGGGTTTCTCAAGTGGACTTGAGTTGCTTGCTGTCGTTCCAAAATTGTTCTTCCAAGCGTGATGCACACAGCAAACCTGTGATGTTCAACTGACGTTCAAACAACGCTTGGCGATTACCGACCAACGTGCGGCTCATTTTGTATTACTCTTTTGCGAGAATCACGTCGACTACGAGCGAAAACCCGACGAAAAGACGCGGGCCGTGGAATTCTCATGTTATACCTACGTGAGAGAGCAAGAAAAACGTAGAAATTGTATTAAACTGGTCCTATGCCGCGATTCGCGTTCCTCTGCTCGGATCAAGTCGCCCACGTCTCTAACGGCCCCCGCAGGCCATGGGCGCTGCCATCTTTTCTTTGACGTCACGTATTTGGGTTGGTCATGTGACGAGTGGTCACATTTGCGTACAATGGCAGCCTCCTTAGGGGGGTCACTTTCGAGTGCAGACCGGAACCCCGGTTTATCGCTCTAAGCCCCTCTACCTCGTTGACGCAGAGAGAGACGGCGAATACAGGCTGGTCCTATCAACTGCAGAGATCACGCCATGACGTTGTGCCTCTTTTCCTGTTTGATTGGCCCTTCGACTCATAACATCGGCCGCGCTCAGACCTAGGCTGAAACAAAATATAGACACTGGCACGCTGGCGCCATCTATGCAGTGACCCTGGAACTGCACTTCACAAAAGCGAAGGTTTCGCGGGATTTACGAGGTCAAATGTGCGTAATACCTATGAGAAAGCTCGTTTATAACGTCAGGAAACGTTTTTCGAACCAACAAAAAAGTATAATTCTAAAAGATCGCAAGCGTGTGAACAGCCCTTAATGCACGCACGCTCCTGAAGTGAAAGCGTCGTTCATGACATTTGTCTTTGCAGCGTCAGCTCGCTTAAAATTACGGGAAACAGAAACGAGCTTTTCGGCGACGCAGCTGACGCTCAAGAGACGTTTGAAACACTTCACGGGGTGGAGCTTTAACCGTCTCACCTTCGCCACGAAGAGAGAAGGTTAAGAAAGCCACGCGATGACCGCAACAGCACGCCGCATCCGCCTCCGACTACTTGGCTGCCGTTTCAAAACGTTCAAAGCTACTGATAGCTTTAGAAATATATAAATTAGAGTGAAATTATTCCTGAATTGTACAAATATGACGAATGTGTAAATAATTAGGCACCACTGCGCCAGCTAGCGGGTGTTATGAATCTTAACGGCTGGGTAGCGAAAGGGCTTTAGTGGCCCCTCTACGTTTAGTATATTACTCTATGCCCGACGCACGTACGCCATACTTTCTTCTATTCTACACCGAAGGCGTCGCGGGGGCCACGTAGCGGCAGCAAAAACTTAGAAACGCGTCCAAATTAAGCGTATTGGGGGAACGCCATAAAATGCTGCACCATGTCTTATATCCTTATAAAATTAGTTGATCGTGTGGTTTTTCTTGACTCTCAGTGAGTTTCTAGTTGGAGTCCTACGTGTATATTTTCAATAATTAAAAAGAGCAAGTAAATTTTGGGTAATTATTTAACTAATCAGACTATGTTTCTGTAATCCCTGACGTTCACGTTGGCTAGCAATATGTTCCAGAAAGACTTTGGTTTTCCTCAATCACCCTCTTTTTAGCGATTTTTTAGTCTTAGCCAACGTTACTAAAACACTCATTTGGGAAACTCCCATAGAGACAGCTTTGAAAAAGTGGCCCCAACCTGTCTCCGAGCACCGAGCACCGAGCTAATGACGAACACAACCCCGCAATTTCTCCCGCAGCGGCCACTTGAGGAACTGCACGTGTCTTCTATTTTGGCTTTAAAAACAGATACAGCGGTAGAGGTTACAGGGGTGCCACTTGAGGAACTGCAGCGGCCACTTGAGGAACCCCAGCGGCCACTTGAGGAACCGCAGCGGCCACTTGAGGAACTGCACGTGTCTTCTATTTTGGCTGTAAGAACAGATACAGCGGTTACAGGGGTGCCACCCCGTCTCCCCGGCGGACGCGCCGCGTTCAACTACCGAAGTTAAAATGCACCTAGGGCGGGACGCGCTACCTGAAAGGCCCGCTGAGGCATGGTTGTATAAAAACAATATTAATTGTGCCGCAAAACCCTGCAAACTAACGATTTTAAAAACATAACGCGCCCCTCTTTTTGTACTAAACTCCAATAAATTTCATACAAAAAGAGTCTTTTTCGTTTGTTTTTACGCAAAAACAGGCTTTCAAAAAGCTCAATGTGACCACAGTACAGACAATTGATAAAGAGTGGCGCTGTTGTCGCATTTAACTCGGTCTCCGTGGACGCCAGCGGCCCAGGTTTCGACGGCGAGTTCCCCAACTGAGGGTTTTAGTAACGTTGGTCTTAGCTGAAACGCCGGGTATGAGGGTATTCACCGGACGCCATATTTGAGAGAGATGTTTAGACATGCCCAAAACGAGCTTACTTTAATAGGCTGCTAAGATCGGCAATCAGGATTGTGTGGAATAAACGTTGCAAAAGTACGGTGGAAGCTCGCCGTGAGCACGCGCTCAGGAGTCGCACACACAGCTATGGCCGCCAGTGAACACTCCCTATAGTGAGTATTCACTGGCGGCTATAGATGTGTGCGCGAATTCTAAGCACAGCTGAAGGCGAGCTTCCACAGTTCTTTTGCAACGTGCATTCCGCACCATCAAGAGTGCCGGTCTTAACAGCCTATAGATGTGAGCTCGTTCTGAGCATGAGCTCTAAACGGCACCCACAAATAGGGCGTCCAGTGAATACTTCCTATATCAATGCATACTGAGGAACCTGAGGGTATCGGTGCCCGAATGGGCTAGCGCACACGAGCTTGGAGCACGTAGACCGAAAGCTCGCCTTGACCACTCGGGCACCGATACCCTCAGGTATCCCTGCCCGTTTTGCGCTGGGGATCGAACCCAGGGATCTAGGGTTCGATCCCCACCCCTGCCCGTTTCGATCTGGATGAGCATCGTACCGGCGTGCGGTCGTGTATCACTACTGCGTGGTGCACGTTAAAGACCCCAGGCTAACGGTTCTACTGCACTGGCTAAGTTGCTAATCTACAGCTGGGAGACAAGTCGCCCGTTGAGGCAGACTAAGTTCAGGCTGTATAAACCTACACACTGCACAGTTGAACCTGCGCAACGCATCTGCGCTTCAACAGCAGCCGCATGCTTATTGTTCTAAAATATCAGGTTCTCTCACAGCAGGCATTCACGCATCCAAGCATTTAGTGCCGTTTCTGTCACTCGCGTGCGTTCCAAGAGGCACCCGTCAACAAATATTTTCTTGAAGACGTTTCACAGACTATATTTCATATCAAGAAACTATGATGTGACGTAACTGCATGACAAAAATTTGTGATTCAAGACTGAACCTCACGTCTTACCTGTTGTTTTGCAAGTTCTTCCAAATGTTATATCATGGGAGGTTTCGTAATTTTATGTGGGATGATTTTCCTCAGTTGTGTTTTTATGGCAACAAAAACGTTGCCTTTTTAACCTTCTTTCGTTTATTTATGCCTTCTAGGTACAGTTCATTGCTTACCTGTTTATGCATATTTCGAAGTTCACACATGTATGTCATTGTCGACGATCAAAAATTGTAAACCGAGAAACAAATGCAAAAGCTCTTAGCGTGACTTGACACAGAAAGAATAAAACAAATTTGGTGTCAAGTCAACTTTACTCACACGTTCTACAGTAAATATGGCTCTCAGTCTGGTGCACGAAAAGTTAAATAATTTAATACCAACTAGAAAGAAAGGTTATCTTACTGCATTAAATTATAGTTTAATGAATTCTCCTTAATTTGACATTATCTATATATGACTGCACAGAAAATAGAACGAACATTAAAGAGCCGCCCAAAAAGAGCCAAGACGACATAAAGGGTAGGCACCGATGGGTACCTTAACATACTCTGAGCATCGTCATTTGCTAGAATTATTGGTTGCTAGCAGGATTTGCCTGTCTGTGAGTTTTCTGATACTCTAAATGCCCAAGCTTTTTTTCAGAGCGCTCGGTGAATTTTTTATAGTCACTGATTTGCCTCAAAATTAGTTTAACATAGTAATAGACGCATATGAACTATAAATTCCAATTACAAGCCGAAAAGTGTTGTTTTTTTTTTGTCAAGTTATTAAATTTTTAAATCTAGAGGGAGTGGCTGAGAGATAGTCTACTGGCGACACTTAAAACGTGACGTCAAATGTTGGAGTATCGGGGAGGGGGGGGGGGGGGGCGCAGTACACATCTTGTTTCTGACAGGTTACAGGAAGTTTATTGGTGTGAAATGAATGCTGGGGAAGCTTACGCCAGCAAAACGAAAGAAAACAGACGCGAGGAATGCTGTGTTTTCTAGACTGCCTGCTCGACTTGCAGGTTAAACAACTGGCGACGTAACTCCACGAGTGCTCGTGGGAAAATTTGAATACTGGTTTTGGCATAACCTTTATTGGCCTTTTTCGCAATACCTATTTTGAATTTATGGATAACAAATAGCAAGCATTGAGGAGTAAACCCTTAGTATTCTGAAAATGTGTTTAGTATAGGTTGGGCTCCAAAAATGTATAAATGTTCTTCCTTTTTTTATTCCTTATTCGGCGTCCCCAATCCCCTGATACCATCATATTATTGTCTCCGGAGTGACGATAAAATAATGTGTGACACAGCACAGAGATGCATCGTCGGGGCGACTGGAAAGGAATCCAGTCAACTTTGTGCGGTGACGTAGCGTCCGTGCCGGGAATACCTTCGCCAAAAACTTCGTTTACTTCGCCGAGTCCGTTTGGATCAATGCGTCTCTGGCCATGTTTCGAAACACCGAGGATGGATTGGAGAGCAAGTCTGCGACTGTCCCATACTCCAGAACGCAGCCGTCACTCATCACGAGAATCCTGCAAGACGAAAGAAAGACATGTAAAGAAGCGTGTACGTAATGGCGTCCCAAAAGTAAGTTACATTTTGAAATAAGAAGCTTATGCAACCTTCTGTGTGAAATGGCTCTTTTTTATTGTGTATGAATACCTTAATTTTCCAACGCGTGATGTTAGGAGATTCTTTTTCTATGTCGTGGCAGAAGCAGTTTATTTAGGGATGGCGCCAACCGGCCCAGTATCGACTTTTCTATAGTTTAAACCGCAAACTTTGACAAAAGCTCGCCTGAAGTTCGACTATTATGTGAATGGGTGGAATTAAGAAACAAGCTGACGCCACCTAGATGACAAGGGGTGCAATACTAATAGCGTGTATTGCTTTGTGTACACAAGCTAACGAAATTACTAAATTTTATTTATTTGCTTTTATTATGTTTCAAATGTAAAACGAACTGTAAAAAACGAACTATAACTATAAAAAAAAAGTTTTCACAAACATTTCAAATTTACGTGCGTAATGCAACACTGTTCGAAAGTCAAATTATTTCGCGAACGTCCCAAATTTCAATATTCACCTTAACTCAATTCTGCGTCGTGTGTATTATTCAACATCTTTTGCATGCGTTGTGAAAAAAATTTGCGCTACTAAAGTGTTTCGTAATAATTTCCTGGAGTAATTACTTCGAAACTTTATGGACATGTGTTGCAAGATCAGAATCATCTGTGACCAGTGAGAGCTGCTGCACCGCAATGGATCAAGAACGCTATGTCCCTTTGCAAGAAGAATTTGAAGCCGTGTTCATTACTTCGTTTGTTGTAGTTAACCCATAGGTCTTGGAAAATGGTCCGTGGCGCTTTGTGGTCTGCATGAAGTTGGCATTTCTCACATTCCAAGATTTTTTTTACAGCGAAGTTCTTATACGCTAGAGACTGGGGAAAATGCTTCCTCACATGTCGACACAAAACCCCCTATTGGTCGTGGCAAGTACGTATAAATGAAAACAAAAAGAGGGCGTCAAGTATAAATAAATAAAAACAAAGAGAGAGGGAAACCAGCGTGAGTCAGCCTTCCTTGGCATTATTAGATAGTGAGATCCTGATCCCTTGTTATTATCTTTAGGCATCGTCCTCGGCGTCGTCCTCGAGGTCGTCCTAGAAGCCGTCCTCGAGGTCGTCCTCGAGGTTGTCCTCGAGGTCATCCTAGATGTTGTCCTCTAGGCGTCGTCCTCGAGGTTGTCCTAGAATCGTCCTTGAAGTCATCCTCGAGGTTGTCCTCGAGGTCATCCTAGATGTTGTCCTCTAGGCGTCGTCCTCGAGGTTGTCCTATACTTCGTTTCAGCTTCCGTCCGAGCGCAGCCAAAGCTACGTGCGGCCGGAGCCAATCACATGCCGGCAATAGGTCACGCGATCTCGCCTGCACTTTTGTATCACTCCGCCGCGCCGCCGATCGGCCGTGCCGCCCGCGCTCGCCGAGTATTTCGTCTGCTACGGATGTATCAACGATATCGTCTGCTACAGGTTTAAAAAGTGTCCTTTCACGTTCTGAAACTTAGTCACAGGGGATGTCAGTACGCAGGCTGGCCGCTGGCATCTGTGTTTGAGCTTTCCACCTGTTCGGCATAGTTTCGAGTTGTAAGTACACGTTGCAAGGTCCCCGATGACCCGGTCGTTGATGTTTCCTTGTATTGTTTGGATATACCAGGGCTCGAGGAGCAGTCCTTTCCACCAGCTTCTCGGCGTTTAATGTGATCGGCAGGTAAAGAGGTGCCCTGATTTCGCCGCGTATCTGGATTGCAGTGGCCCGGACGTTTTGCTTGTTTACAACGCATCGGTACGACGCGGCCGGAGTCTCCTGCCGAATTTGAAAGTAGACATTCATCACGACTTCTCGCGCCTGACGCCCAAAGGTGCCTTTGCGAAAGGACGTTTTGAAGCGACTCGGTGAGGAAAGCAGCGAAGCACATGATTCGGCGACTACGGGAACGAAATCACACATAAAAACCGAGCGCTGCAGCGGTGTTGCCAGCGGATATATATGTTTTCACCAAACCACATGCATTTACGTATATTAATAGAAATATAAACTTCAAAGATTTGATTCTTTTAGTTGCAAATCATTCTCAGCAGCACACATCTGGAACATTGTGCAGTTTTTACGCACAAAGCAGTTATTTTAAAAGAAATTACTTTTGTGAACTACTTTGTGGTGCGTAAGAATGCTCTTCTCGAAGTTGCGAACCGTCCCTCCGCCTTTGGCTGCGCTCGGACGGAAGCTGAAACGAAGTATAGAGGTCGTCCTCTAGACATCGTCCTAGACGTCCTACAGATAACAGCTACGCTGGTCCTCCATCTTCACTTGAAGCGGAAGAGCTCCACATTTTTTTTTCTATTACAAGCCAAGTTTTTTTTTGGTTGACGGACCCTTTTATTCACTTAAACAGAACTGATACGAGGCACAAACTGCAACAATCAGAACACTCTCATAAAATGGCGTTAATGGGTGACGAATATAAAAAGAAAACAGAACAGCGTACGTGCAGCCCGGAAGTGAATACTCTCGCAGAACTTATGCACGACTGGAACTCACCTTTTCGATGCACATCATATTTTAGCTCGAGTGACAACAGAAATAGTTATTTCGCTTTTGGTAAGAGCTCCTTCTCAAAGCTACACTCAAGCGATATGTGAAGGATAAACCATTGTATACCTAAAAATCAGGCTTCATATTTAGAAATGGCAAAATTACAATTAGCAATAGTTGAATTTTATAACTACGTTAAGATTTTTTCTCTCAGCAACCTAATGGTGATAGCTGTAATTAGCGCTAAACGTGTTGTCGAAAATGGACACAATAAACGTGTCACGTTCAAGAAAAGAAGCTACTAAATTAAAACTACTTTCAAGCACCCGAATTCGAGCTTGAGCGTGGGTAGCAGGAGTACCCTGCACGCACTTTTGAGCACGCGTACCTTCAATGAAAATACACAAACTGGACGTTTAACCTTTTAGACAGGGAACAGTACAGCGCGTGTGCACACGGGAAATACAAGGACAGTTTATGAAACGCCTCAGATGGTCAAGGTAATACCGGTTCCAAATACGAAAATTCTATCATTTCTCGTTTCCGACAACAGTGAATATTTCTAATGACATCAATTTTCACGTGAGCCTTCCGAGACTGAAACGTTTTATAGGCCCATAACCCGTGTCTGGAGAAAGCAACCTTCCATACCGAAGTCATTCACTTCTTTTTTTCTTTTCGGCATCCAGCTGGGTGATAGTACCGTTATCCATTTTTGGTATACGGTATCACAGCACCATTTGAATGTTATCGCCAAGCTGGCGCCGTTCAAAGTTGTTTTCTTCGATTAAGTCTAACAGTACCCTTACGATAGACATCTCTGCTTATACACTTACTTGTCGTGATCGAGCACAGTGTGTATCCGGTGCGCTATGGTGATTTGCGTGCACTGGGCGAACGCCTCCCGAAGCGTAGCCTGGATCAGCTGATCTGTGTCACCGTCCATCTGGGACGTGGCCTCGTCCAGGACAAGCAGCCTGGGCTTCCGCAGCAGAGCCCGGACGAGGCATACCAGCTGACGCTCACCCACGCTGCCAAGAGAATATACGGGTGCTGTTCATCTCGTGAACATGTCAGGACGGTCTATTTTTCGAATGGTGTGCTAAGGTCAAATGAGAGAGAAAGCGTCTGAGGTCTAAGGTTTATGTCTAAAGTGTATCCAAGGTGTACGGTCTATGCCTAAGGAAGGGTACAATGTCCGTCTAAAGTGAATTTAACGTGTATCTAAAGTGTAATATCTACATTTAAGGGGTGATATCTACGCCTAAGGTGCATATACGGTGTAGGGTCTATGTCTAACGTGCATCCAGAGAGAGAGAAAGAGAGAGGAAACTTTATTGACTGAGGAGATGGGTCAAAAGGAATAGAGGTCATGGTGGTGGTGGTGGGCGAGGGGCCGAAGGCCCATCCCCTTCTGGACGTCTTCTTTATTTAGGTTGGTGGTCCCGTGGTGGCGGTCGGCCGAGGCTTCCCTGCGACCTCTTCCGCCTTTTTGACCAGGCGGGCCTGTAGGTCCGGGTCGGGGCTGCGAAGCGAGGCCTCCCATCTCTCCTCAGAAGGGATTTCGGGGAAGGGATCCTGAGGGCATGCCCAGATGATGCGGGCAAGGTTGGCATGGGCGCCACATAAGGGGCACGCCGAAGTTGGATAAAGGCTGGGGTGGATATGGGTCATGGTGGCCGGGTTGGGGAAACCTCCCGTCTGGAGCTGGCGCCAGACGTGTGATTGTTCTAAGCTAAGGGATTTGCCCGCCTGCGGATAGATTCTTCGGGAGAGGAGGTAGTAGGTGGTAATGTCATGATATCCGATCCGACGGGCTCCGTGGTAGGGATACAGGCTCGGCCCAGCCCGGATAGTAAGTCCTCGGGCTAGGTCGTGGGCCGCCTCGTTTCCCTCGAGCCCAGAATGCGCAGGGGTCCAGATTAGTTGGACTTGAGATTGCGGGGGGTTCTGCGCAAACTTTTGAGTGCCATTGCGGATATGCGTCCGGCGGCAAAATTTTGGAAAGCGGTTTTAGAATCGGTAATGATTGTTGCGGGGGTAGGATTAAGCGTTAGGGCCAGCGCTATCGCCGCTTCCTCCGCCGTTTCCGGGATGGGCGTCCGGACTGTGATCGAATCTAGCGGGTTGCTGTTGGAGTTATTGCGAACTGCGACTGCGGTGAATGTTTCGTGTGTCTATATTCCGCTGCATCTACGTACACGACTCGGGGGTCGTTTTTTTTTAAGATGTATCTAAGGTGCAAGGTATGACTATGGTGCATATATATAAGGTATAAGGTCTATGTCTAAGGTGCATCCTAGGTGTAAGTTTTACGTCTAATGTGTATCTAAGGTGTTAGGTCTATGCCTAAGTTGTATCTAACAGGGTCTATGCATAAGCTTCATCTATACCCTGTTTCATGCTTTCTGTACAACGCTGTCAGAGCTGCTCGTGTGAGCGAAGGTTTTGATCTCGCAGATTGTTTGCACGCGTTCTCTCGCAAACGAAACCATAGATGAAGCCACGCGCTCGCACCTATAGTTTTGACAGCGTTGTATACTAAGTATAAAACGAAGTATAAGGTGTAATATCTATTTCTGAGGCTTCACTGAGGTGACATAAGAGATCCTCGACTGCTGAGTCATGGAGTCTACATCATCTAGACGCCATGCAGGCGCGGCAACAAGCATTGGATAGAACGCTTTTCAAGATGTTTGTCCACGGTGGCTCGCATTGTCTCAAGTTTCAATTTGGTGAACAACTGTGCCAACGTAACCAATACGTGCAGTAAAAATTTGTATGGCAGTTCATTCGATCGGCGATAAAACATTTGTCAACTTAGTGAAGGTTACCCACAGAAGTTTGTGTTAGTTAGCAATGAAAGCATGACATTGTACCAAGGTCGCACAGAAAATTGTTTTAATACCCTAGTAAAAAAAAATCATTTGTATGAGAAATTTCTTGTGTCCAATAAACACATATGAATCATACAAGATACATAAAAACATATAAGAACCATAAAAGAATTATTGTTTTTTTTATATTCTCCCACCCCTCATCTAATACCCCTCCCGAAGGGGTATTTAAGGAAATAAAGTGAAGTGAAGTGAAATATGAGAACTATATAAGAATTATATAAGATATATAAGAACCCCATAAGAAACTTATAAGAAACTTTCCATTAGTTTCTTATATGGTGCTTGTATGTTCTCATATATCTTATATAGTTCTTATATAGTTTTTATATGGTTCTTATACGGTTCTTATATGTTCTTATATGTTCTTATATATCTTGTATGATTCATATGTGTTTATTGGACAAAGAAATTGCTCATACAAATGAGAATTTTCGATAGGGTACAAAAACTTATCACATCATAGCTTGTCTAACTATGTATTTTATTCTTTTTATCGTCGGGGACGAATGGAATCTTACGAGCTCTGTGAAAGGGTGTTTTATGACTACTCCTCCCGTGTTCGATACCTATAGCTACTGCGATTATCATATTTAAGTAGATATTTTAGCTTTAAGGGTGCCACTTGTTTCAGCTATTTAATTCCGAGTCTCTCTCTCTCTCCCAGTGTCTCGCTCTTACCTGAAGCTAGAACCCCCATCTCCGGTGTCTAAAAGCAGTCGTTTCGGGTCCTTTGCCACGACATCTTTGAGGTGAGCTTGCTCCAGTGCTGTCCAGATCTCATCGTCAGTGTGGGACCCTGTTGGGTCGAGATTTTCTCGTAGAGTTCCTCGAACCAGTTGTGGATCCTATATTTTGGAAGCAAAGGGTCAGTCGCACAAATCAGGGCTCCTTCGCGGGGGAGAAGGCGGGGATGATGTTTTTAGTTTCTATGCGCGATACCCCCAAAGGTGATCTTTGCGTTATCACCTCAATGGCTGGTGATAGTTACAAAAAAAAAAGCTGAGAGTAAGGAAAATTGGCTTAGAAGGGCGAGAGAAGGAATCATATTTTGTTTGTTTGCTTTTTTTGTTTCTAAGCTGGGTGGCGCAAGCTACCACCCGTTGTAAAGGGTTCAGGCGTTATCGTCCATCCGTAGATCCATCCAAGGAGTAGGGCGGACGAAGTAAAATCGCTTTTCTTTTTTTTTTTTTGTGGTGCATTATATTTTATTATGTAGGTTCTACCTGTGTTTTATGACACGATCAGAGAATGATAAAAAACTGTGCACCTGAGGAATTACGGTGATGCCCGAGCGAAGTTTCTTCAGGTGAACTCGAGCAATGTCCCGGCCATCAATTCGGATGCAGCCTTGAGAGCTCTTCAAGACGCGGAGAAGAGCCATCACCAGGGAGGATTTTCCAGCCCCCGTCCGACCAACCACGCCTACCTGTGTTGAAAGTTTAGAAAGGCGTAGTATAGGCTGTAAACGCCGTTATGGCCGATGTTTAATATTACACGAGTGCATCAACATGTGTGATTTTCTCACTATTTCGCGGTAGCTTGCCCGATCGAGAATATATCCTAGTTGTGTCATGAGCCTGCATGGTATATTAGATTCATGAAGTATTCGCAATTTCATGATACGAATTGAACAAAAATTAGGACGAATTAAAAAATTCATTTGCGGCAAACATAAAGCTTGAAATACAGCGGTTAACTGCAAGCATACATAAACCAAGTGCGAGGATTTATTTGACACCAATGAACGAACAAACTAGAAAGCAGGATAGTAGTGAACTTGCACCATTAGATTATTCATATAATAACGCAATAATATTTTAGAGGATTTACAACGTGGAACTAAAACTTTAATTTACACGACTAGAATAAATGTTATATTAATTTTGTAACAAGAGGGTTTGTCCCATTCCTTAAAGAAAACTAATAATAGACCTCTATTATTTTATTCGCGGAACACATGGGGAGCTAAGATACATCTGTTACCAGTAGATTACAAAAGGCGCATAGACACCATATTTCCAACTAAAACGCATGCTCTGTGATGGCATGCCGACCACATAATGACGAACAATTGATGTACCAAAACCAAGCAAAACCCGAGGACGATACGTTACTTCGTTTCATCAACCGCTGTACCCTTACGTTACGTTACTTCGTATCATCAAATTGATCACGCGTGTGCTCTGAAAACGTTCAGACGCGAATACAGGATCATTTTCTAGAGCGTACACAAATACCGGAATGCAATTCTGCTATACATTGGATACATTAGGAAGTTTTAAGTAAACGTTTTTTGCACGTCGTTACGGCAGGATGGGCCCTCCGGTCCAAGCGGGGCATGTGTTAGTCTTCTGCAGTTGCACACGCGCAGTTTGTACCGGAGAGCCCATCGTACGCAAAGACAGTTCCCTTAAACTCTCTATTGACGCGCTCGTAATACCCCAGTAGATGCTCCGGCTTCAGCACCCGTTCGCTGCCTTCCTACTGGCTTTTGGCTGCGCGTGCGACGGAGTGTTATAAAAGGCAGAAAGTCTGCGAATAAGTTTGGTGGAGAGGCATTCCTTAGTTGTGCAGTGATCTGGATTTCGGAGGAAGCAGACTGTAGCTAGAAAATAGATTCCTGGCTCAAGTATGACAAACTTACCCCGTGTTATTTTGTAATCCTGGTCTCACCTTTTCGGTAGGGTTCACCGTGAGGGTGATGCCCTTGAGCACGTCGGGCAGAATTCCAGGCTTGTACGACGCCGCGTAGGAGACAAACTCCACCTTGCCTTCTGGCGGCCACTCCGATAGCTTCGAGTGTTCTGGATCAAGGTCATCATACGCCTCTACTCCGGGCTCCACTGCACTCTGATTAAAAAGAAGGGTAGAGTTTGTAGAAGGTTAATTGTCTGTAGATGTATGTGACAATCAAGTCCTTTACTAGGGGGAATACATTCCACTCCTCTTATTTGCACTAGACAGCCCTCTTACAGCGCCAAATCCTCCCCTTGCGGTGTGAAAGCCCCGCGTTTTGACGCATGCGCGTCGTGCTATTCCCGCCGCGCGTGTGCTTTCGTTGGAGAGGGTTATCGTCGACGCGCAGAGACACCAAGTCAAATACTTTACTAGGGGTGTACAGGGCGCTACCCGAGAATATATCGAGAAAATTGACAGCGAGGATCTGCGGAAACACGCGTGACGGTGACAACGGTACCGTCTTCTCATCCCCGACCCCGTCAAACGCACCGCATTCCGAGACGTGGCCTTTTCGTGCTCTGGCGGTGACAAAAGGAGGGGGGGGGGGGGGGGGGGGCGCTAAATAAACCACTCCACCAGGGGAGGATTCGGCGCGGCCATGCAAATGAGGCGGAGTGTCCTGTATTTCCCTAGTAAAACATTTGACCAGGTTCGTCGAGACAGCGGAGGCGGCTGTCTCGACTGGTGCTCGGGAAGTCCAAGACGATAGATGACACCAACCACCCCTCCTAGTTCTAAAATAGGGAAAACCCCGATGCTGCGGCGCATCCAGCCATTCGAACTACGCAAAACCTGTCACGCCAAGACTATTGTATTTTCGCGGAGTGCAGTGGTATCTGTGACAGTAGTGGAGAGGCGCCTATGAGCGAGGGTGTGAGGAAAGCTGCGCGAGTGTTGATGTGCATGAGTCAAAGTTCCTAGATAAACGTTCCGCTTCTTTCCAGGTTTAAGGTGCCGACAGCGTGACGCATTTTAGGAAGCAAATGGTGGCGCTGCACAGCAGCGGAATGAACTGGAAGACCCCTTTTATTCACGCGAAACGTCCTGCGTCACGCGTGATGGAGTTGCATCTACTTTTAAAAGAAACTAGCAAGGAACTTCAACATGTGTTTCACACGCCAGCCCCGGCGTTTGACTCGGCGCCAGCTGCGGTGTCCTTGCGTTACTTTTAACATGACGATTTTGTCTGTGAATAGAAACCCGTATTGCGAACCCGAAGCCGTATTGCGAACGTTAAAGCGCGACGAGCAGCGTCGTAGTAGTGCAGAGGCATAAAAAATGTTTCTTGTATTGATGCACTCTAAAAACCTAAACTTAAACGTAGTCTTTTAGAAAACCGTCTGTTTTGCTCTTTCCTTGGCACATTCCGAGACTAACGAGACGGCGGACCCTGATTTTTTTCATTTTCAAAAGCTTCGATTGATCTGAACAAACTGTTGCCAAAGAGGCCTTTGCTTACTTCTTGGGGAAGTTCGGTGTAGTCGACGCAGCGCTCGAAGGACACCACAGCTTGGAGGGCTGCGAACATCGACGAACTCGTGGCAACCATTGTTTGAAGAATCTGAAAGAAGAGAAACGTAGAACAAATATATTGAGAGTAGGGTGGAAAAAGAAACGAATTGCAAGCGGCTCATATTTCTTTGAAGGGTGCATACTGCGTGTGCGTTATCTATATGTATAAATTACGTCTGGGCGAGTAGCTGGTGTAGTCGCAATAGCACATAACTTAAGTTTTTGAAAATATATTGATCTAAAATAACTAAAGCATGATAGCAATTGGCAATATTTATGTGATCCAAAGATACAGCGCAGATGTGAATTGAATGGTAAATAAGTATAGAAAGCCGAAACAAGCGCCTAGGCATGTACGAACATATTAAGAAAAACAAAAGCCAAAACATGCCAAAGTAGGCTTAGCATTTGACCCAGTTAAATACAATTGTGAATACTTCTGCGATGCCCCGTAAGTGCTTACGTTATCTCAAATAATATATATATATAAGGGACATGGGAAACCGACTGAGGAGGAACGAACCCTCAACCACTTAACAATACTTCCTCACATTCTTTTACGTGCGTGCACCATTCATTGTTCCGCATGGTATCGAACGTATCCGGTTTTTTTAGGCATTTTTTGGGGTGAGTGTGTTCAATTTGCCGACCTCTGTTCTACCGTACGGTATGAGTCAAGGGAATTGTTGGCCCTTTGAAAGAACGACATAAATCAATCTCCTAATTTATAGGGTTAAAATTCTACACAGAGGCGGCCGAGGGTGGTGCATTTTCTGTTTCATATATTTAAATAACTAGCTTAACTTAAGTAAAAATTGAAAATTAAGAGCCTAAATTTGCTACCTAGAATGGCCGTCTGCTATCGAAGGGTGCCTGATTTGCGAAGCAGCTGACATGCGGAGGCAAATAAGAGCAAGGGCACAGCTACTGATCTCCGGCAGTAGACGATGTTTGGGTCAAAGGCGGCGAAGGCTTATTTTGGTGTAGTGCGTGATTTTATTATTTTACTAATAAAGCACATCGACTGAACAGACTGATTGAACACAAAACCCACAAGAAAGATTCTTTGCCAGGCTATTTCGTTTATACGCCATCTCTCGTCTGTTAAGTCACTCAGACGTGTTTCATATGCAGACGGCCGGGAGTAGGTAGCGAATAGACTTTCGCTAAATTACCCAAGCATCAATGAGAACGCAGAGAATATAGGTCTATGCGCCGCAAGTTCTGGTATCTCCAGCAATGCAGCTGTACTGTTTTAAACCAAAAGCGTAAAGCAAATCGCATCTTGCACGCGCGTTCGTCAACGCCTTATTTCGGTTATTTCCTTTAAATATCTACACCTAGGTAAACCAACATTTCCAGCATTTTCCTTGATGCTTGGGTAACATAGTAATAGGTCTATTCACGCTCTTGATTTTTGACTTTTTAATCCGGTAAGCTCATTCTTTGAAACTGTGATGAACAAAATACACCCCAGCTTAGCCACAAAATACTAACTCCATATAACGATTCCTTTGATTCACGCGGTCAATCTTTAACGATTTGGTGTCTCACCGAAGACGCAGCACTCAGAGTGAGTCCGACGCTGCTCGGGTCCGGATGCACGCCCCAGGGCGGGAGCAAAACCACGAAGAGCATCGTGGTCAAGATGACGATGAAGCCGCAGAGACAACTGCCCACGCGAACGAGGCGGTAGTACATGCAGAAGGCCCAATAGGCGCGCGAGTTTGTGTCCACCAGGCGGTAGAAGTGCGTGCAGAAGCGATCCAGGACGCCGTAGGCCCGTATGCTGCTCAGTACCTCCATTGTTTCGGTCAGATGGGACAGCATGCGGGACGTGTGAATGGCCTCGAGGAACTTCGGAGCTCGAGAAGCTCTGAGCGCCAGCCGCTACAAGGAGTAAGTGACGGAACCGGGTGATGACCGTAAGAGTGCGGTCATGAATGGCAAACGCATTGAATATCAGTACAAAAAGAAATTTTAAAAATCTTTAGACTGGCAGTGAACGTTTAGCTAAGAAAGCATGTCTCAGCCTATCATGATTAGGGAGTTTTCGAATATGTGCCCTTTGTGTCCCCTAGCAGCTTGTGGCCGTCGCACTGCACATACACGAGACATTCGCGTTTGCGCAGCGGAGAGGAAGCCATAAAGGGCCCAGTATTCTGCATTATCTAAACTAAACGTCTTAAGGCACTTTATATGGCCCGCAGAAATCGGTTTCGCAACGTATCGCGCTGAGAGAATGAACTTGCTTCGTTCAAAAAGAAAAAAAAAACTGAAACCTGTTCTGGACAATGTACTGCTTCGCAGACGACGCACACGTAGTGAGAAGTTCTGCCGACAGATGGCGAACGCCGCGTCGATTCGGGTTCTTTTGCGGGATCGTCTGCTATCCTAACCCGAATCGGCCGCCGCTCCCCCGACGCGGCGTGCGCCATCTGTCGGCAGCACTTCTCAGAAGAGTTTTCTTTTTTTTTCCCCTTTTGAACGAGGGAAGTTCATTCCTCGATTTTTTCACTGTAAACTTCCATCATGTGCTTGCACCTCCGTGGTAAATTGCAGCGTGATACGTTGAGAAACCAATTTCTGCCGGTTGTATAAAGCGCCTTAGAAGCGTTAGTATGCATGCTGTAGAACACCGTATTGGCAGCTTATGAAATGCAGGGCTTGTCTTATTATTAGAGTTGCGTGCTTTCGGAGTTTATTTTTTATGTAATTCGGAGGGTGTTCTTGGAGTTTTTCCGATTTAATTTTTGATAGAGTCTCAACTCTTCAGAATTCATACCATCATGATGATTGCATCACGATCGTATCAGAGCTTATTACGAGTTTGCTATATATGAAATAGGTGCGCGCCAAAAAAAAACAAAAAAAAACACAAGAACAACGAAGTAGACAAAGAATGGCGCACTCGCAACTAACTTTTATTTGAAGAAAAAAACACTCCTATATACAGGCTGTTTCTCTTTTTATTATTTCATATTTGTTGAAAAAAAGCTGTGAAAGCTACACTAACGCGGTTTGTGCAGGTGAGTTATGTGGACAGGGGAAACATAGTATAGGGGAGATAGTCGCAACTATCAGTCGGCTAATGAAGTAAAATTTGTTAACTAAATTTTTAGTTAGTTCAAATAGACATGTTGTGTGTATGTTTATACAGCCTGGAACCTGGTCTGCCTCAACGGGCGACGAGTCTCCCTGCTGTAGATGAGTAATTTAGCCAGTGCAGTACAACTGCTAGCCTGGGGCCTTTAACGTGCACCACGCAATAGTGATACACGACCGCTCGCCGGTACGATGCTCATCCAGATCGAAACGAACAGAGGTGGGGATTGGGCCAGGATCCTGGGTTCTGCAGTACGAGTTTTCGCTCCACATGCTCCGAGCTGGTAACGCTAGCCCACTCGGCCACCGATGCCTCCTTTCTGTACTTTGTTGTTCCTGTGTGTGTGTGTTTTCTTCTTTTTTGGCGCTCACCTACTTCATCGTGAACCAACTGGCCCAAATTGCCCCTTGATAGCCTATAGACCGCCAGATTATTCGCATAATTTTGTTACGAAACTTTATGATGCACTTATTTTTTTTTTCTTTCCAGAAAGTTACCGGGAGCTGGTATTACAATGTTTGGTGATTTCAATTATTCACATATTGACTGGCTTTCTTTGTTGTGATGATTGTGCTATGTCACGTGCGTTCATTCACACGTGTTTAACGTTCAACTCAGTTCAAATGATAAATGAACCAAGCAGGATTCTAGGTCCTACTTGCTGCCTTTTGCTATTGACGGTTCGCATCCATTACCCACCGACATTGTAATACAAATTGACACCTCAAAGTTTTGTGAATTTCTCAGTGTTTTATTGAATAAAATGAACGAGTTACCAAATTTCATGGTGATTTGTTAACTAGTTATCGCCATTTAACGTTTGCACCATGTATTGTTCTTCTTGTTCCTTTGTGTGTGTGTGTTTTTTTTTTTTTAATTTTGTGTTTAAACAATGTCTTCTTACCCTCCCTTGTGTAATACTTGCAAACAGGTCCTCAAGCTAAATAAATTAAAAAAAAATTAAACTCGAAGTTTAATTTCACTTTGTTCCAAATTCTTTAAGATCCTGCTCTAAATTTATAAAAACTTTCCAGTATCAAATAATATTTCTTCAGCTGGATTTGGCGTGTTTTAATGAACGTTGATAGTTAAGTTTGTGAACTCAACGATATTGAGCTGGGAAACTCATTTTCTTCTCGTACCATTTCACTACCCTAGCTTGTGAATGCGCGGGCTAAGCCTGGTGGCGAAACGTTTTTCGCTAAATTTAGCGGGGAAATTTTTCCGCTAAACTTAGAGGAGAAATTTCCCCACTAAACATAGCGGACAAATTTTCCCACTAATTTTAGCGGAAAATTTTTATCGCAAAATTTAGCGAAAATATTTCTCCGCTGAATTTAGCTGGGTAATTTACCCTCTAAGTTTAGCAGGAAAATTCCCCGCTAAATTTAGCAAAAAAATTACCTCTCTAAATTTCGCGGAAAAATTGCCCGCTAAATTTAGCGGACACATTCACCGCTAAGTTTAGCGGAAAAGTTCCCCCGCTAAATTTAGCACAAAAATTCACCGCTAAATTTAGCAGAAAATTTTCACCGCTAAATTTAGCGGAAAAAAGTTCCCGCTACATGTAGCGAAACATTTTCCCCGCTAACTTCAAAGAGAAAATTCCCCAGCTAACTTTAGCGGCAAAATTTTCCCGGCAAATTGGGCGGAAAGATTTCCCCTCTAAATTTAGCGGAAGAACCTCCCAGCTAAATTTAACGGGAAAATATCCCCGCTAAATGTAGCGGAAAATTTTTCCCGCTAGATTTTGCGGAAGTAATTTCTCGCTAAATTTAGCGGAAATATTTCCCCGCTAAATTTAGCGGGGAATTGGTTCCGCTATATTTAGCGGGAAAATTTGAGAAAATTTTCCGCTAAATGGGAGGACTGCAGGAGAGGAGGAGGGAAGGGTACGGAGGGGGAGAAGAAGTATACCCTCCCCGCCGTGCTCTAATTCGTTATTACAGGGAATCGTAAACGTCTTTCATTTTGGGGGAATTAGCCCTTGGATCAATTCGTATCTCACATTCTCCTTCTTACTGAATTGAAGACTTAAGCTTCCTTTGTTTTCCTTCTGGGGGATGCATTGGATATTGGGTATACATTTATATAAGATTAAAACATTTATGGCAGGTTGACTGGGTGATTTATACTTCTGCAAACATTCTACCATCAGACATAGACATATTTAATTTACCGCCAAACTTGCACATCCTATACACTAGTCTATACTTTGCAGGTTCAGTTCGAAGTTTAAGGTGTAGTTGAATAAAAGATGTTTGAATATTTTCAAATGGATCTATAGGCAGGTTTGTAACATCAAAACAGAATATTGAATAGAGACTTGCAAACGTACGTTTTGTTACAACTGTTCCAGTAACAAGAAATTTGTTTGGAGTAAAGTCACAATTAATTGGAAAGAATCTATAAGAATTTACTTCAACATTTATAGTTTCGAGGTTTAAATTATCGAAACACATATTGTTTCCAGTTGCAGAATTGATTTTCGTGGTGTAATATAAACATATTTTGGTTTATATCGGACTCCTGGAAAATCTAGTGTATGTTCAATACCATCATAAGTAATTGTTATATTGGTTTGAGAGCTTTTCCATTCATATTATACAATCTCGTTGCTCTTTAATTGAACAGTTAAGAAGGCTATTGTTTGTAAATTTGGTGTAATATCTGCAATCGTTCATAGCAGCTTATCAAAAACAGCTTTGTAATTTCCTCCTGGTTTTGAGTGAATTAACATGCCTACATTGTTATTTTTAATAAAGTTAGCTTAAATGTCATTCCTTAAAATACTTATCCATTCTGGAGAAACGCATTACACATCTACGTTTAAGAGACACTTCTACAATCTATGAGTTTTTGGTAATTGCACAACGTTTTGCAAACCCTTCGTTATATCGTGGATTTACTGTAACACCAGTTACAGCAAGCTTTTGTTTGTCGAACTGTTTTGATTTTATAGCTGTTTAGTTCATAAGTTTCAGATGTATCAGGAAACCAAAATGCGGACGTAGCTGTGGATCAAAAATAATCTTCTGAGTAAGTAAGAAATTTTTCATTTGTGAAACTGATTCGAAGGTAAAGGTTATGTTCAATTTCTTTATAATTCGCCGTTAACCTAATCTTTCCAAAGGCATTCGCTCTAATAATATTAACACACGTAACAATATCTGCATTTGCAAGATTTGTGTCATCACACTTAACAATTTTAGTCTGCATTAAAGTACATGTTTTGGAAAACCTTAGGGCTTCCCTAGTATTTGAACACAAAAGTTCTGCTTCGTTTTAAGTTTTAAGCTTCACAATTTTCTTTTTATTGGCGTTATTGAATTTTGAAGTTACGCTGGCCGCGAGGGTTCGAGGAGGCGACTCCCTACAGGCAACCATGAAAACTCCCTTCTTTTCCCTACCCGCGAGCGACCCGGGCAGCCGGCAAGCGGCCTTCCGGGCACCAGCGATCCAGATTATCTTTTTACAGCTTCAAGCTTGAAAGTGTCTTTGCGATGGGTAGAAATATGTGCTCCGCTTTAAACTGTAGGAACAGTGCCGGAAAAAGGATCTTCTTTACCCTTGTTTTTGTGGGGGGAAATGCGTTCCCTGGCAGCAGTGGGTGTGCGCCTCATCAAGGTGGTTTTGGCCGAGCTGTGTACCTAGAGAACTATTGCACATAATACTATCTCACTTATGCTCAAACTCAAGCCGGCTGTGTCCGCTACGAAATCTGTCCAAATTGCAGCGCTTATAACATCGAGAAAGAATATTGCGCGTTTTAGTATTATAGCTACACTTGGCGCAGTCACATATATTGTTGTTCACAATTGCTTCAGTGATTTTATATATATATATATATAAAGACTATATTCGTTTGGGACATCGAATCTAGCTCTGGCTACTCTCAGAATTCCACTCACGCGGCCGATCAATAAAGACGAGAAAATAAGCGTCTAAACAAAGTTCAAACCTGAGTTTAGACGTGACTCTCGACACATTTCTCTTCGTGTCTGGTATTACAGAGGTTTACGAAACAGGTGTTGAGCTCCATTAATATA